TTTGCATGACACAGGTACATTTACATACATGAGGGTGAAACACTCATACACCTAAAGTCAAAAAAAAATTTTTTTTAATTCCGAAATGTGAAAATGAGTAATTGATGTTGTATATGAAAGAAAGTGGACATTTCTGGCTGTTGACACACAAAATCAGCTTCCAGGAGGAATTAAACATTTTCTCTATATTGCATTTCATAATTGTTTAATTTCTTGGGCAGAATCACTGAATCAGGGCTGGGGATTTGGCTCAGTAGTAAAGTGTTTGCCTAGCATGTGCAAAGCCCTGGGTTCAATACCCAGCACTGCAAAAGTAACAAAGAATAACTGTTGTGGTTTGAATGTGAAAAGTCCCACACAGGCTCATGTGTTGTGAACAACTGGTCCCCAGCTGGTGGTGCTGTCTGGGAAGGTCATGGAACCTTTAGGAGGTAGAGCTTTGCTGGTGGAAGTATGTCACTGGGGACAGGTTTCAGGTTTTATAATGTGGCCTCATGTCCTGTTCTCTCTCTCTGCTTCCTGTGTATAGATGAAAATGTGATCTCTCTGCTTCCTGACTGCCAGGGAGGCCTCATGTTTCTGTTGCCATGCCTCCGCTGCCATGATAAACTCTATTCCTTTTGGAATAGAGAATTAGAAAAGTAACTAATATATCAGCCAACCAAATAAATAAATAAATAGTAAATAAAACAAAATAGATTATACTGGGTCAAATTAAGAGAAATGAGGTTATTTACCTTTTTTTCTGGTAAAGATAAACATGTACATTTGATTGTAGACTCTGGGGATACAAAGTACATAAAATAGGAAAGTTCACATCAGTACCAAAGACTGAGTGAATCCACGGTGGTTTACAGCTTTTACAGTCATGCTGTTACAATAAAAATTACTTTGACCTTTCAAATGAAAATTAATTCTTTACAAAAATTATCAGCACTTGGGGACCGGAGCGATGGCTCCACAGTTAAGAGCACTGACTGCTCTTGCAGAGACGGGGTTCAGTTCCCACCACTCATATGGTGGTTAACAACCATCCTTAAATTCAGTTCCAGGGGAACTGGACATGCTCTTTTGACCTCTGCAAGCATTGCACAACACAGGAGCACTCACATGCATGCAGGCAATACACTCATACACATAAAAGAATAATAAGTAAAATATCTTTTTAAAAATATCAGCACTTTGATATGCTGGCAGAGGAAAGCATGACACAGAACAGTTCTTACCTCAAGCCTGCAACCAGGCCAGCAGGCACTATTGTCTTGGACCTCTTGAATCTCACACCCATTATGGTAGCCAGGATGAAAGCTGTAACTGAAACCTAGTCATGGCAAATTAGAGTTTCAAATATGCCATTAAGATTTGCTTGTGAAAAAAGTTACTAGTCCAAACCTCTTGGTATAAGAACTATTATGTGGAAGTATTGAATGCTAATTTCTTCAACAAAAAATAAATTTTAAAGATTTATTTTTAAAAAGGTCAAATATTGGGGCTGGAGAGATAGCTCAGTGGTTAAGAACACTGGCCGTTCTTGCACAAGACCTGGGTTCAAATCCATGCACCCACATGGCAGCTAAGAACTGTCCATTAACTCCAGTTCCAGGGGATCCGGCAAACTCTTCTGCTCTCCGCAGACGCTGCACGACAAGGGTGAACTTACCTATGTGCAGGCAATACTCACATACACATAAAAATAATAAATAAAATATTTTTTTAAAAAGAACTAATATGTAGAACTTTCCCCCAGAGAGCTCGGTACTTTGGCTTAGACAAAAGGTGTTTACTCCCAGCAAGATAGGAATATTATTGTAGTTTCAACCTCAAAAAGCTGTGAAAGTTATTTGCAAACCTTGTCGATCAGTACCACCCAAGGAAGGCAGGCAGGGCCTCTGGAGGTCCAGCTTCTCAGACTCCCAGTGTATGCTTTGGTAGCAGCTGGGGCACTCAAAAAGGGCAGATACATAAAAGACCTGGGTGACATCCAAGACTTCATATTGGCCACTCTCCTGTACCATGAGGACCACCTGGAGGGTGAAATCCTACTCTGCTTTCCTTAGCACTCTGCCTTGGTTGTGTGGGAAAACGCATTTCCTATATGTGTTTAACATAATCCCAAACAATTGAGAAGGGAACATGATGTTGTCTTAAGAATCTCCATTCCCTCTCCCTTTCATCAGAATGGTTTAATATCATATCCCTTCAGACAACAGAGCAAAGAAATTTATAACAAAATTTTGTGGAAAAAGCAGAAACAATGGTCTTATGACTACTTTCTTATTTTTGTTAAAAAAAATTCCATCCCTAAAGGTGGTTTGGACTTACGTAAGGGCAAAAACATGACTAGATATTAAGGTTAAAGGCAAACTGTACAATATCTTTGTGCTTTTCGTATTTTGCAAATTTTCTGCCAAAGGCTTCCATTGTTTTCATTTTTGTATAAATAAACCAGCATTTATGTATATAAAGTCCCTTGAGATTTTGGCTTTTTATGAATGAGTCTCCCCAAAGCAGGGTAAGCTAGAAGACCTGAGACAAACTGAGTTTCTGAACAGTTGATAAGGACCTGGCTCAGGACCCCATGACACTTAATGAGTGTGAACATCCCAGGAAACCCTGCCTGGGCAACCAGTGGACTAATCAGTTGGGCTCTTAACCTCCCTTTCTCATTTCTTCTTGTACACAACCTGTGAAGCTATCTGTTTTCATTACTTGTCTGTTGTGATAAAACACCATGACCAAGGCAACTTTCAGAAGGAAGAATTTATTGGGCTTACTGGTCTGGAAGGATAAGTGTCCACCATGACTGGGGAGGCATGGCAGGAGGAAGCTGGAGAAGAAAGCTGAGTGTGCACATCTTCAAAGTCATGCAGGAAGCACAGAGAGAATCTGGAAGTGGGTCAAGGCTATGAACTCTCACAGCCCACCCCCAGTGACTCGCTTCCTCCAGAACGGCCACACCACCTAAGGATTCTATAGCCCTCTCCAACCAACTGAACAAGTGTTCAAATACTTGAGCCTAGGAGGACACTGCTCATTCAAACTACCACAGTACCCACATCTACAGATATAGAATTTTTCATGTGGGAGCTACAATTCAAAGTGGCCTAAGAAATCAGAAGACATGAGAAGTTGAATGGAAAAAAGAAATTTCTATTTTCACTAATCTCTAATTGAATTTATCATTTCTTTCCATTGGGAAAATAGGCAGCAAACCATAGCAATATTAGTACCTGTATCTATAATCACTAAGGATCAGTTAATTATTAGGATTTATTTGTAGTACTATTTTGAATTATGTTAATAATTAGGCATAACCCAAAAATTATAAACCAGTACATTCATAAAACTAGCTACCTTTGAGAGCTCATCATTTTATTTTGTGCGTTCCTCCAGAATGACAAAGGGGCTGAAACTACACTGTAAGCTGTGAGTCTCTGCGGTGGCTCATGACTAGGTAGCTCTATTCAGTTGATAGAAGAAAAAGGCTTTGCTGCACCCTCATTCTGGACTCCACCCTGACCTTTCACTGAAGCAGGTGACAGCTGATGGCTCAGTTTAGATGACAAGGTCCTTCTGCCTAAGAACAATCCTGTTCCCACATGTCTGACACTATGGCATTCCAATGTCATATAAAGAGATGTTATTTTAGGTTGGGTTGAAACGTAATTGAATAGGCGTATGTTGAGGCTGTTTCTCTCTTTTGATAGTTAAGTAGCAGAAATCTCAGAGCATCTACTCTGAACCACAACATTAACCCTACTGCTCGGCCTTAGGGTGTATCTTGGTGATAGAATCCCTAAGTGCTGGAGTGCACAAAGCACTGTGTTCAAATCCCAGCACTGACCAAACAAAAACCCTTCAATTTCAGAGCTAAAGTACAAACGGCAAACGTTTACCTAGGCCATATAATGGGAATTATAAAGCTTTCCGAGAGGGTTTTAGTTTTATTCTGAATAGAGAAAGTGTTCTGGCAGTCAGGAGAGTGAGAAGGCTGGGATGACGACTGCACAGCAGGGGGTCGGAAGGAGAGCTGGGAGAACTCAAGGGCAAACCAGGACACCACTGCTTCCAAGTCCCTGTGTCTTACAGCCAATTGTCCTGTGACTCTTCCCTTGTTTGGTTAACACCTTAGGACCAATGTAGATCTCTCATGACAAGACACAGTCATGTTACTTCCATGAAATTCTTTTATGTGCAGAGAATAGGTTCAGCAAACAAATTTCACAGGATTTAATGTATATGTTAAGTTCTTTTGTGTTCTGGGGAATTCTATTATTCCCAACCTCACAGAATCCAAGAACTTTCTTCAAATCCGTGGACAGCCGTTGTGTAAGGAAAAGGGTCTGCCATAGACATTGTATTTAGTCTAGAAGGTAAAATTGGAGTGACAGGAGAATTTACCGGGAGGCACAGTTTCAAGTTAGTAGGTGGTTCCCCCGCCCCTCCCCCGCCCCGCACAGATTACCAAGGACAAGCAAGATCGAAAGTGCTTTCCAACTCTGGAGTTCTAATACCATTCCTTCCAGATATCTAAGCCTGGCAATCTGATCTGACAGTGTTAAAGCAGGAGCTTGATATCACAACCACATCTATATGACCCCATAGTGTGATGGACGGTTGCTCAGGTTTTGAGACTGTATGAAGTTGGAATCTGACTTTGGAGGTCTTATTTCATCTTCCAGAACGTTGTTAGCTGCTCCACTGAAAAGGGGGACAGTCTGTAGACAGCATATGAAGTGTTTGGCGTCATTAGAGGTTACATAGGTGTTCTTTGAAGGACAAACTTTTTCTCTGCTAAAAATCTTTCCAGCTTCGGGGATCCTCGCTAAACCCTATCAAAGCACTGCAGGTGTCAGTCAGCCCTGCAGGAGGCAGCAGGCCTCGGTCAGAACTCAGGGACCAAGCACAGGCGGGGCAGAGGAGCGAGTGCTCAGGATCTTGGTTCCCACTGCAGCAGAGTTGCACCGGGGTTCCTAGGCGGGGCAGGACGTAGGGAAGAAGCAGAAAGAGGCACATGCGCGCAGCAGCTGGGAAGAGGAGCCCGTATTGTGTGCAGGAAGGTGGAGCGGGAGTGCGCCAGCGGTGACACAGCTTCCGGAGTGCAGTACTGCGCTTGCGTGCCTCTGATTTCCCTCTTCTCCAGCTGCAGGAAGGGCTTGGGGCTGCAGGTGAGCTGTGCATCCTGTAAAGGAAACTTTTCTGCCCTCTATTTTCTGGCAAGATAAAAGGATCTTTGCTGAGCGTCAGCCCTCCTTACCACCCCCTCGGTCTTCACAGCAAACAGTATAGGCGACTTGCGGATGGAAGGGATGTGCAGGAATGGAGGCTTCCCTTGTAGGAATTTTCTTTTCCTCATCCTGCCAATTTCCTGAATTTCTGCCTTCTCGAAGTCCTAAATCTCTCACCTGTCCTACCTTCTACCCTCCCAGAGCCGGGATCTTGGTGATGGTGGTGCACTGAACTCATGAACAAATAATTCATGAACAAATGCGTCGTAGGTAGGGTTCACCCAGACTTAACTTGAAAATGACTCCCACGCCCTCGTAGCTGAAAGGTGGGCGATTGTTATATTCTTCTATGAAAATGCTTTGAATCTAATAATCTAGAGATCTCTTAGAGCTCCAAATTTTGGAAGACTTGGGACCGACGCCAGCAGGGAATTGCCATTCCGTTTTAAACGCAGTGAAGCCAAGGTGATTTCTAGCCTTTTATCAGTACCCAGCCTGGGGTCTGCAGCAGGAATATTGGTGACCTTGTCCCCGCATCCACACCCTATTCCTTTCAAGTTTTTACAGCCTCTAGTTTTAATGTTTCCTTATGGCCCGAGCAACTGGATCTGGCCGTGTAGAAGCAGCTAAAAAGATGACTGAATTTTCTCTGAATTTTCTAAGTGAACACAAGCTTTTTGCCAGGGTTAAAATAGATTGATTTTTGCCTCCTTTAACATTTAGTTCTCTGTGGAGATGAAGGAGCCGTTGGGTTCCTGGCAATATACCTGGGGGTGGTCAGGCAGTGCATGGGAATTGTAGAGCAGTTACTGAATATTTTTAGTTCTTTTGCCCCACCGTGAACTCATTCATTCTCTCATTCATCCGTTCAGTATTTACTTAGTACCTACCTCCTGCAGGGCAGTGTGGTTGGTACTAACTATGAGCAGGCCAGAAATGAATGGAACATGGGCTTGCCTTTAACAAGCCCAGCTGTGAATGGTCTATCTTACCAGGCTCAGAATCTGTAAGCAATGGTGTCTTCTTGGCTGCCTTGGCACCTCAGACAGTATTCCATGAGTCCTGTCCTTCTTTCCCCGCCATATACCTGCTGCTGCCCAGAGCTGACTCAGGAGAAGTGTGAAGACTCGGCCACCCCTACCTCTCCTGGAGGTCCAAGTCAGAGACCTAGGAGAGAGTCATCCTTACAACTTCCCTGCCCATCTCTCCCTACCTCCATACTGTTAGTTCTAACTCCTGACTCTATCAAATTCATCTGCCTCCATGTTTATTGCTATTTCTCTAGAGTGGGATCCCATCATCGACTGTTCTTGCTAAGTTTACTACAGCCATCTCCGGATTTATCTCCCTGCTTTACTGAATTCATCTTCCTCTGCTGCCGCCAGGAAACACTTGGGATCTAAACCTGATTGTGAGGGCTGCTTCTTTGACCCCCCACTGACTTTAGGGCAAGAACCACAGACTGGTTTTGCAGGGCTGGTGTGCATCTGCAGCCTTGTGTCTCTCACTAGGTGCTCCTTTCTCAGGCCCTCGGTATTTTATTTTGAGAACACGCCTTGCTTTCTGACCCCTCAAGGCCTTTGCATGTTTGTTCTTATGCCTGGAAAACTTGTTTACTATGCTTTCTTTTGACATTTTATTTGTTGATGTGTATAAGTGTATTGCCTGCATGTATGTAAGTGCACTCATGTCATTCAATGCCTATGAAGGTCAGAAGAGGGTATCAGATACCCTGGAACCGGAGTTATGGACTGTTGTTAGCCTCCTTGTGAGTGCTGGGATTGAACTCGGGTCCTCTGCAAGAACAGCCAGTGCTCTTTCTTAACTGCTGAGTACATCTCTCCAGCCCTTGTTCACTATATTTATTCCTGTTTTCCCCCAAGGTCCCAGGTGGGGCCCTGCATCCCCTGAACATCCCTGCTTAGGCTCTGAAGCTCATTAGATACCTGTCCTCTGAGTTTTGGAAGTATAGACGAGCCTGTGTTTGTGGCCTTTCCCTTGAATTTGACTGCCTTGAACAAAGAAGTTTAAATATCAGTTGTGACACGATATGATTCTTTGAATACCTGAATAACAAATTCACTCTCTACCTCATTGTACTGAATAATGACCTTAACAATGGATAGAACAACGAAAGACTATTATTACTTCAAAAGCTAACGTACCTTTATTTTTATTGTTTTTTGTTTTATTTGACAAGGTCTTCGTCACCCCAGTTCACCTGGAACTCACTATATAGACCAGGCTGGCCTTGATCTCAAAGAGATCTGCCTGTCTCTATGTCCTGAGGACTGGGATTAAAGGCAAGCACCACCACACCAAAAATATGCCTTTATTTTTAATTGGCACATTTTAATTATGTATATTTTTAGAATAGAATGTGGCATTCAATACAGCATCAGTATTTATTCAGATCAAAGTAATTGACATAGCTGTCACCTCTGACATTTATCATTTCTTTATGCTAGGAGCATCCAAAATCCTGTATACTAGCTATTTTGAAATACATCATGTTGCCAACCACAGTTATCCCGCTGTGCTGTGGAATGCTAGAAATTGTTCATCCTAGGCAGTGCACCACTGTTCCTTTTAACCATCCTCACCCTCCCCACACAACTTAGAGAGTTTGGTAACTTTTGTGCAATCAGCTTGTTAGAGTCCATATATAAGTGAGAACATGTGGTATTTGTCTTTCTGTGCCTAGAAGAGCTGATATTTATTGAATGCCCAGTATGTGTCAGGCACTCTTCTAGTATTTTAATTCATTTAATTTTCACAGTAGCCCTGTGAGCTAGATACTTTTATTTTCCTTTTGTAAAGGTGGAGAAACTGAGTTACACAGCAATTAAGGAATGCACCTAATTTTGCACAGCTAGAAAGCTTGAAGCCAACATACATGGTACCACAGTAATAAATATTATTATTCCTGTGAGATGCCCCTGGGGCAGAAGAGGGTGAGTCACCAGATGGAAGGTGATGTCCAGTGGTCACAATTTCAAGGTGTGAGCCAAGTAGAAGAATCCACAGTGGAGACCTCTGAACAGCATCAATTTCATTTGCTTATTCACTTTGTTCCTCCAAGTAATCCAGTTCTGGATGGTATTGCATAGTGTTGAGGAGTGACACATGCCTGAAACTGATATCTTGGTTGTGCTGTGTAAAGTTAGGGCATCACTTGCCTTCTCTGTGCCTCAGTTTCCTCATCTGGAAAATACTGATTGCAATAGCATTTCCTTCATGAAGTTTGGGTCGTGATTGGGATGATATGAGATGGAAGAGGGCCTGTCACGTGGTAGTTACCCAAAAGCATGATCTTCTTTGTTACCCTTGTTACTGTCTTTATCTGTCATTCACTCAGCAGATGGTTTTGAACACAGCTCCTTCCTTTATGTTATGCCCCTTGGAGTCACTTTGCTGGCACAGATGAGGTCTCCTGGGTTAGTTCTTTTCCAGATGTGGGGTCTTTGTGTGTTGCTTCCTATTCTGTGACCTCTCAATAAGGATTTTTGTTGTATTTTATTTTGTCTTATTTGAGGGAGGGTTTCACTCTGTAGCTTTGGCTTGTGAAGATTGGCCTTTGAATTCCTGGAAATCCACCTGCCTCAAGCTCTCAGTGCTGAGAGTACAAACATGAACTACCACGCCTGGTTTATAGTAAGTTCTAAGTGACTCCAAGATCTTAACACCTGTTCTGTTCTGAGTCAGTCTGGTTTACATAAAGGAGAAGCAGTGAGAAAACTGAAAGAAGGCACAAGAGGGCCAAGGGTGTAGGTCGGTGGTAGTACGCTTTCCTAGAATGTACAAGACCCTGGGCTCACTCTCCAGTAGCACCCCCCCACCCCAAAGGAACAGGAAACTTCATACACCATTCCCATCCCTCATATTTACAAACAACTTTTCCCCCATGGAAGTAAATAGATGTTTTAAAAAAGTAAGATATTAAAGTACACCAGTAATTGTAGAATTTAACAATCCAAGGAAATATACACATCTCATCTATTTCCCCCACTTAGGGGGACCTGGGGAGAGGGAGGGACAAAACCTTTACATTAGCAGCCAGCTCAAGGCTAGTAGTTTATTGCCAACCTGTAACCATCTTGCTTCCTGCTGGATCTTGAATAACCCAGGGCAGGGCTTCATTGGAATATCTCACACTGGATATGCTTCAAGTGGTCTGTGGTGTACTACAGGATGCCATGGCGTGCAGTTAGTTTTGGGCCAGGGTTCCATCATCATGTTTAATGATTTACCACTGATTAAGAATGTCTGTCTCTGCCACAGGGAAGTTGGTACAAAGCAGATAATCAAAGTGAATCCTCATTTCAAGTACCAAGCAAAATCCATGTAACACTTCTTTTGCTGTGCATTGTGGGGAGGATGGAAAGATAAATATTCACACAAATATGAAGGCTTTGAAAGATGGAGTTGCAAAAGCAAAGGAATGTAGAGGAGGCAGAACCACTCGCTGCATCTGATGACACATTCCAGAGGGTTGATGGAGAAGTATTTGAGGGCAGAGGCTGGGGCCAAGGTGTAGAGGATAGTGGGTTCAGGTGTTGACTGTTTTGTGGGTTGAGGTAAAGAAGGTATTGCAGGTGTTAAAGTGTAAAGGAAAGTTTTGTGTTATACAAGTTCAGTCAGAGACCTGGATAACCAAAACAGAAGTCACTTAAACAGCTGTGGGTACAACAGGTCTAGACAAGCAAAGAAGAATCAGTCTGAAGAGTACCCCCAAGTGTGTTTACCATGATGAGGACAGGGGATATCAGCTATTATGTTGTAAGAGGTAAAGATTAAACCTCCTCTTCTTTGGTTTTGTGGACTACTTATTACTTTTTTTTTTTTTTTTTCGGTCTTTTTGAGACAGGGTCTCCCTGTAGCCCCAACTGTCCTGGGACTCACTATGTAGAACAGGCCGGTCTTGAACTCACAGAGATCCGCCTGCCTCTGCCTCCTGAGTGCCGGGATTAAAGGTGTGCGCCACCATGCCTGGCTACTTATTACTTTTATATGCATTTGTTCTCCAAAACTGTATGATGTGTCTCTTGCCCTTTCTTTATAGAACTGTATCCTCACTAATGGACCTGGTTGGTTTTGGTTATGCAGCCCTTGTGACATTTGGAAGTATTTTGGGATATAGGCGGCGAGGTAAGCCTAAAACTTTTTCTCTTTTCTTTTCTTATTTTTTTTTTTGTTTTTTTTTTTTTTTTTAAACGGAATCTTGTAGCCTTTGCTGGCCTTACATTTGCCATTGATCTTCTTGTCTCCATCTCCCAAGTACCGAGATTATAAGAGTGCACCACCATACCCTGTACAAGTTGTTTATCAAAAAGATTTAATAGAGAAATGGGATCTTCTGAGGATCCCTAAGCACGAAAAGAAGCTAAAGATGCCTCGGAGGTGCCTGAGAACCAGCATGTCATGGGAGGGATTCATGAAGGGAAGGAAGTCATGTGAGGCAGAGCATCTCAGACTGTTCTAGCCTGGGGCTTCTGGGCCTCTCTTCACCTGCAGTTATGACCCACATAATTAATTAACTTTCAAGGCAATATCATTTTTTTTCCATTTACACAAAACTAAAACATTTTATTTAAGGATACTTAATTTGAGAATAAATTATAAACAAAGAAGGAAGAGTTAGATGTCTTTTCTGGTCCTGAGAATGTTCTATTTCATTATATATGTAAATATTGGTAGTATCGCTTTTTATAATAACTCATTATCCATTTATATGTTCAGAAATAAAGAATGAGATCATTAGCTTTTAGGGGCACATCATAATTTTGTAAGCTCACTAAATAATAAAGATATGAAGTGTTTAATTACTTAATATTTCTGTTATAAATACTTAGACATTTCTGAACTTTATATTCATAATAAAAAAATTTTAATATTTTATTTGTTTTTATTTTATGTGCATGAGTGTATTGGCTGCATGTGTGTTAAGTGCACCTGTGTGGTGCAATGCCTCTGAAGGTCAGACAAGGGCATTGAATTCCCCTGGAACTGGAGTTACAGGTGGTTGTTAGCTGCCATCTGAGTGCTGGGAATTGAACCCAGGTCCTCTACAAGAGCAGCCAGTGCTCTTTAGCTCTGAACATCTCTCTATTTCATGATGACATTTTCATACATGTGTCACTGTACTGTTCCTGTGTGGCTCCTTTCCAAGCTGTTCTCCCTCCTCCCTGTACCCCTTCCTCCTGGTCCCCCTCTTCCCACCAAATTTTTATTCAGTTCTAGGAATTTTTAAAGTTCCTCCTGAATTTCTTATAAGATACAAGAAATTATTTTTATTTTTACGTATTTGTTAAAGCTTGCTTTGTGGTTTGGAATGTGGACTATTTTAGAAACAGTTCCATGGGCTGGAGAGAAGAATGTGTATTTTGTACCTGTTGGATATAATATATCTGTTAATGTTCATTTGATCTATGGTATAGTTTAACTCTGAAGTTTCTTGGTTGGTTTCTTGATTTGATGACCCAGCTAAAGATGAGAGTGGGCCACTATTATTGACTCTGAACCTCTCTGACTTTTTCTATTCGTTAGTGTGTGTTTTATGGAATTGAAAGCCCCCAAATTTAGTTACATATATTTATAATTGCTAAATTCTCTTGATGAATTGTTCTTTTTATTACTATTATCTCTTCTAACTAATTTTGATTTGAAGCCTACTTTATCTGCTCTCTGCACCAGCTTGTTCTGGGCTGTTTACTTAATAAATTGAATGTCCTTTGACTCAGTCTCTTGAGTGTCTTCACCAATGAGGTGTGTTTCTTGAGCCAAATCTAGTTTGTTTGTTTTTCTTTAATGTAGTTAGCTAGTCTATGACTGTCTGTTGGTGGATATGGGTCATTTACACGTAAGGTTTTTATTTAAAGATGTTAACTAATTCTTGTAATGCTGTGGGTTTTCTGATTGGTTGGATTATTATCTGTTCTTCCCTTTCACTCCTATGTATTAGGGGTTTTGCTGAATGGCTGTTGGACATCATGGACTCCCTGGCTCTCCTTTGTTCATCTGTTCTCATGAGTTTTATTCTTTGCTGTGCTCTCATGATTAAGACTGCCTTCTTCCTCTATCTGTAGCTTTGTTTTAAGTGTCTTCTGCAAAGTTGGTGGTCATGAACTACATTAGTTTGTGCTTCTCTGGGAATGTCTTTCCTTCTCTGCCAAATTCAAAGCATAGCTTTGCTGGATACAACAGTGTTTTCTGACAGTTATTAACTTCCAGAGCTTAAAGTACATTGTTTTGAGCTTTCCTGATTTTAGAGTTGTAGATGAGAGATGTGCTATTATTCTGAGAGTAAAATGAAAGGAGAGAGAGAGAACGTTGGATGCAGAAACACTTGGAGACAAAATGGCCATTACTTAGCTTCTCTATGCCTTCAGTTTAATGCTCAGCTTCTCCTATCCTGTAGATTCCTTTCATAAGAATATTTGATTCACTTTTATTTTATGTGTATGAATGTATTGCCTACATGCATGTAAATGCATCTATGCCATGCAATACCCACAAAGGCCAGGAGAGGGTGTCAAATCCCATGGAACTGGAGTTCCAGATGGTTGTTAGCCACCATGTGGCTCAGTGATTAAGAGCACTGGCTGCTCTTGCAGTTGACCCGGGTTCAGTTCTCAGCACCCACATGGCAGCTAACAAAAATCCTTAACTCCAGTTCCGGGGAATCTGACCCCCTCTTCTGGCATCCTTGGGATCATGTGTTCAGGTGTATTTACATACATGCACACAAAATACTCAGACATATAAAATTCAATTAAATAAAAAAGCTTTAAAGATTTCCCAATAATTAGAAAGCTAAAAGCAAAAAACAGATGTAAAAAGAGGAATTTATAAAAAATAAGTAACAATAAGATAAAGTCAAATTAATACTAAAAGCATAGTAGAAAGAAAAATTGGCACACATAAATACTAAAAAAAGAGAGAGAAATCCAAGAAAGTGAAAGAATAAAGATTGCCCAATAATAGAAAAAAATGTATAAACAAAATTAGATGAATGTATGACAGGGATTAAAACTAAAAATACACTTTTCTTTAAAATATGGTAAAGTAAAAGCACTTCTAAAAATGTAATAAAAGGAAGAAGCAGGGACGTACAGGGGGATAAGGAAAAGAAAAGACGACAGTAAAAGTGGGGCTGGAGAGATGCTCAATGTGTAAAGTATTTGCTGCACAAGCATGAGGACCTGCATTCAGATCCCAGCACCAAACTAAACCTGGGTGAGGTGGTGCATCTGTAACCCCAGTGCTGGGGCGGTGATAAAGACAGAGACATTCAGGGGCTCATGCTCCTGGGGCTCATTGGCCTGTCACTCTAGCTGAAACAAGCTTCAGGTTCAGTGAGGTAGCCTTTCTCAAAAGCTAAGGTAGATCTGGGCATGCCTTTAATCCTAGCACTTGGAAGCAGAAGCAGGCAGATCTCTTGTGAGACTGAGGTAAGCCTGATCTACATAGCAAGTTCTGGGACAGCTGGGGCTACAGGAAGACCCTGTCTCAAAAAAAAAAAAAAAAAGGTGGAGAATGATAGGGAGATACTTGAAGTCGACCTCTGGCCTCTATTTGTGCACACACGGGAGAGCGCACCTGCACATACCTATGCCCCACATGCATAACTCTTTGTCTCTCTCTATCTCTCTGTCTCTCTGTGTCTCTCTGTCTCTGTCTGTCTGTCTGTCTGTCTGTCTCTCTCTCTCTCTCTCACACACACACACATAAAGATGACGTGTTGAAGCAACTTCCTTTTGGGACTCAAAAACTTGATACTGAGGCTGGAGAGATGGCTCAGAAGCTGAGAACACTCACTGTTCTTGCAGAAGACCCAAGTTCAAATTCCAGCACCCACATGGCAGCTAACATCTGTCCATAATTCCAGTCCCAGGGGGTCCGACAGCCTTTTCTGTCCTCCGTGGGCATTGCATGACATGGGTGTACTTACCTACACACAGGCAATACATGCATACACATAAAATAAAAATAATAAATAAAATATTTTTTGTTAAAACTTGATATTTCCTGTAGCCTCCCTTCTTTGCATTCCTAGGGTCTTTGCTGATCATACTTAGCTCTGCAATCTTGAGTGAGCAATTTCTCTCACCCTCTCAAGATGCCCCGTTCCTAGCGCTCAGAGGAGGTAGCTAATGTTCTAGCTCACAGCGTTTCCAAAATGTGCTGGGGTATGGGCAGCCACCATATTCCTGAGATCTGCAGAGACCTAAGACTTGTCTTCATACTTTTAAGACTGCCTAAGTGTTGGTCACCCTGCTGGAGGAATGCAGCTGTGCATGTCAGGATGACAGCTGGAGCTTTGGAGTTTTCAGCTTGACATCAGTGAAGGAGAGGTAGGTGGCTCCAGAGGTTGACCACCACTGACCTCAGGCACAGGACTAGTAAACTCCAGGGCTATTCTTAGTTGATGAGGTCTGCTCCTATGCACAAAGGTGGAGGCACATTTCTGTGAACCCCACTGCCTCAACTGAGGTACTGCTGCCTCTGTGTTTTGGCTTGTCAGTGTCGGCCCCCCAACTCTCCACAGCTGCCTCCTTGGGCTGTTTCTTCCTCTATGGCTAAAGTCAGACCTCCTGACCTGTGGTTGTTCCCTGTTCTCAGGTACCAGGGCAACTCAGTTTTAAATAATAGATTCCAGGGCTGGAGAGATGGCTCAGCGGTTAAGAACACTGACTGTTCTTGCAGAAGACCCGGGTTCAAATCCCAGCACCCACACGGCAGCTAACAACTGTCTTAACTCCAGTTCCAGGGGATCCGACAGCCTCTTCTATCTTCTGCGGGCATTGCACAACACGAGTGCACTTACCTACATGTAGGCAGTACATGCATACACATAAAATAAATATAAATAAAATTGAAAAATAAATAAATAAATAAATAAATAAATAATAGATTTCCCCCTAGAGATGGCACCTGGTCACAGCTCTTCATGTCATACAGAATGACTAAAGAGGATTCCTCCATACTGCTTACCTATCTAGAAGGGTCACCATCCCACCAAAACCTACAACTAGAGTTGAGGCTTGGAGGGCCTTGGGCTTGTTATGAGGGTAGGACTGCCAGTCTCTTCTTCCCAGCACTGCCTGGCTTACATTCTGGATGAGGTTTCTGATCCCTTAGCCACTCCTGGGAACCCTGAATCCAAAGCTCTGTTTGGCTTGGCTTGGTGCTCAGTGTATCTCCTGTCTTTTTCTCTGCGCTTTTCAGATAGTCCATCTTTGAAGTTTCAAAGCTCTTCTTCTGTCTTCTATTGAAAATAAAATCTATTTCTTACTATTCTGAGTCTTCTCTCCTACTGGGTCACACAGGGGCAGCTTCTAGTCTGCTATCTTAACCCAGAATTTATTTATCATTAAGTGCATCTTTTATGGAATTGGATTAAAAACTGAAAAATATTGACAGTGTGTGTTTCAGTGGAAATGCCCATGCCCACCCCCTTTCAAAGCAATGGAGCCATCCAACTTTGGACTGAATCTCTGAAACTAATTCAAAATAAATCTTTCTTTAGATGGATTTTAAAATATTTTGCCACCATGACAGATAAATGACTAAATAACTGCTTAAAAGCAAATGCCTCATAAATCTTGATAAATGCTGTTGAAAACAATTTGTCAAAGACATGCTTAAATAACTTCTATTACAAACCTAAAAGGAATATCTGATTATGTCTGCTCCCTTTTTTAGGCTGTGTGTGTGTGTATCTGTGTCTGTGTCTATGTATGTCTGTATGTGTGTGTCTGTATGTATGTATGTGTGTCTGTGTATGTCTATGTGTGTGTGTGTCTGTGTCTATGTATGTCTGTGTGTATGTGTCTGTGTCTATGACTGTGTATGTCTTTGTGTTTCTATGTGTTTCTGTGTGTATGTCTGTGTCTGTGTATCTATGTATGTCTCTGTGTGTATGTGTGTGTGTTTGTGTGTCTATATCTGTGTACGTCTTTGTGTTTCTATGTGTGTCTGTGTGTCTGTGACTCTGTGTGTGTATGTGTGTATATCTGTGTGTGTATATGTTTGTGTATGTCTTCGTGTTTCTATGTGTGTCTGTGCGTGTGTGCACACGCATACCTGCATGGACTGATACAGATACATAGTTGAATTCCCGATAGTCATTTAAAATATAAAGATACTTTTGTTCTAACTAGGGACCTAATCCTTTAGATTCTAAATTCCTTGAGCTCTCCGAAGCAAGGATTATATGCATCTTATTCACAGTGTCACCAACATGTAACTCTCTGTCCATTACACAGGAAGTGCCCAGTGTTTGTCACAATGCCCTGGGGTATGTGGACTGGTTAGGGACAGGCTAGTTGTGACGTCCACTTTCTCAGAATAGGCTCATTCATTCTTGAACACTGACATTTCGAGACTAGAATATTTGTTAATCATTCAAGACAGAACCTTTGCTTGTCCTGCATGGCACTACCCTCCTTATTCTTGTGAGATAAAAATTCCTAAGAATCTCATTTCCTGTCATCATAACGCCTTAGTAAAAAGATGGTGCCAAGGAGATTGGGGGTCAGGGGGGATGGTAGGGTGGGAGAAGCAGAGTGGTCCCAGCAGGACTTTTTTACTCTCACACAAGATGCCTAGCTTCCGCATTTCTGTGTATTCAGGTTCTTCTACCTTGCATTTTTGGTTCTACGTGAAACTCATTTCCTATAAACTAGATGTGAAGAGGACCATACTTAATTTGGCTCCAGTCTCTTATGATGCCCTAATAAGAAGGTGCATATACTAGACTTGAAATTATGGAATGAATTCCTATTGTTTTGTGATTCTCTTTGTAATTCTCTTCTTTTAAAAGAAATACTTATTGGGCTGGAGAGCTGGCTCAGTGGTTAAGAACACTGGTTGTTCTTTCAGAAGACCCAGGTTTGAATTCCAGCATACCCACATGACAGCTAACAACTGCCCGTAACTCCAGTTCCAGGGGATCCAAAGTCCTCCTGTCCTCCACAGGCATTGAACAACATGGGTGCACTTACCTACGTGCAGGCAATACACTCATAAAAACACAAATAAAAAACATTTTTAAAATACTTATTTTATTATTCTTAGTTGTGTGTTTGTGTGTGTGTGTGTGTGTGTGTGTGTGTGTGTGTGTGTGTTGTGGGGTATGTGGGTACAGGTGCCCTTGGAGGCCAAAGGCATCAAATCTCCCTGGAGGTTGATTTATAGGTAGTTGGGAGATTCCCAACAGGGTACAGGGAATTGAACTCAGGTCTTCTGCAAGAGCAGTATGCACTCTAAACTGCTAAGGCATCTCTCCAATCCATATAATCCCCGTCTCTTTCTTCCCCAGGTGGAGTTCCATCTTTGATTGGTGGTCTTTGTGTTGGATTTTTGGCTGGCTATGGAGCTTACCGTGTCTCTAATGACAAGCGGGATGTCAAAATATCTCTGTGTAAGTAAGGTGTTCTTCCCATTTGCAGAGACTTGACCTGGAAAATGTTCGCTTGACCCTCTATACTACATTTACTATAAAAATGGTTGTCAAGAGTTAAATGGCCGTGTGCCTGGGTCAACATTAAACACACTTGTTTCTTTCTAGACAGTCCTCATCAAAAATAGTGATCAGCCTTTCATCTTATGTTTCTATACAATGAGCTACAAGAAAATTAAATAAGAAAGAGCATAGACTTATTACTAGCTGTTCTTTCAGCTTCCTTAAATGTATATGGCTTTCAAGTTGCTGTGAAAGTATTTTATACAGCCTAGCATCATTCTGTGTAATCTGCAGGTAGCTTTTACATTCAGCCATGCCTTAAGGTGATCTAGACCAGCAAAGCTGCCTCCTTTTTCTGCTTCCTCCCCTTGGGCTTGGTGAAAGAATGCCCAGGAAGCCCGTGTTTAAACCCCTAAAATACTTGGTTTTCTTTGTCTGACTGAAAAGAAAAAAATTACAGTGACATTTTGGAAAACTAGATTAAGAAAAATTTCTCTAATTCTCTATCTTTTTTATCTTTCTTTCCTTTTTCTCTCTTTTTGGTTTGTTTTTGGGTTTTGAAATAGGATTTAGTTACGTAGCAACTACCTATGTAGCCTAAGCTGGACTCAGATTCATAATCCTCCTGTTTCTACTTCCAGCAGGCTTGAATTATAAGTATGGGGTCGTCACAACAGCTCAGTGGGTAAAGGTATTTGCTGCCAAGCTTAACAACCTGAGTCTCATCCCTGGGACACACTTGGTAGAGGAGAACTGACCCTGCAACTTGTCCTGTGACTCCACACGTGGGTGGCATGCACACACATAAAATAAATAAATGAATGTAAAACAAATTAAAGAAAACAAGTACGTAGTATGTACCAGCACATCCACCTTATTTACTAAACACTCCTAATAGAGGAAAATACAAATGAAAACAAAATTACATTAGTTTAAATTTGAGGAAGAAAAAGAAACTTGGTGGGATTTTTTCTCCTCTTATTTTAAATATAGGCTACAGGTAGTTATAATAATATTCTGTCAGAAAATAAAGATGGAATGGTATATTCTAGAGATAGTCATAATAATACTGTGTCAGAAAAGAAAGATAGAATACTACATTCAGATCTTGCTTTAAAAAGAAACATTTGTTATTATCCTGACAATTATTTAAACATTTGCTGAGTGTCTCTTGTGGGTCCAAGTATAACTATGTATTGTTTCTGAGAAAAGTTGAATAAAGTATAGTCCCTACCCTCTAAGGGTAAACTAGGAATAGAAATTTAGGTTAGGAAAAGAATTTTTTGAAGATCTTTTAAGAATGGATTTTAACATGTTTGTTTACTTAGAAACTTTTTGATGAACTAGTTTGTAAGGTATTTGAATAGAAGGCTTTGTTGTTTTTGTTGTTTATAAGAAAACAGCATTCAGTGGGGTTGGAGAGATGACTCAGTGGTGAAGAGCACAGACTGCTCTTGCAGAGGACCTGGGTTCAATTCCAGCACCCACATGGCAGCTAACAACTGCCTGTAACTCCAGTTCTAGGAGATCTGATGCCCTCTTCTGACCTCCTCAGGCACTGCGCAACATGGGTGCACTTACATACATGCAGGCAATACACTCATACACATAAAATAAAAATAATAAATAAAAAAAATTTTTTGGTCTTTTTGAGACAGGGTCTCCCTGTAGCCCCAGCTGTCCTGGAACTCACTGTGTAGACCAGGCTGGCCTTGAACTCACAGAGATTGGCCTGCCTCTACCTCCCAAGTGCTGGAATTAAAGGCGTGTGCCACCATGCCATTTTTTAAAAAAGAAAATAGCATTTAATACTTACACATAATAGTTATTGTGCTGAGAGCTTCAAGATGGTATCTTTTTTCACAAAAAGTGTTGATGGCATATTTGAAACTCTAATTTGCTGTGACTGGATTTCAGTTACAGCTTTCATCCTGGCTACCATAATGGGTGTGAGATTCAAGAGGTCCAAGACAATAGTGCCTGCTGGCCTGGTTGCAGGCTTGAGGTAAGAACTGTTCTGTGTCATGCTTTCCTCTGCCAGCATATCAAAGTGCTGATTTTTTAAAATATTTTATTATTTTTTATTTTATGTGTATGAGTGTATTACCTGCATGTATGCAAATGCACCTGTGTTACGCAGTGCTCATGGAGGTTGGAGAGGTTGTCAGATCCCCTGGTACTGGAGTTAGGGATGGTTGTTAACCATCATGTGGGTGCTGGGGACCAAACAAAAGCAGCTAGTGCTCTTACCTAGCTAGAGCAGCTAGTGCTCTTAACTGCTGAGCCATCTTTCCAGACATGGAAATTATTTCTAAGAAGTACACAAAGCCTGACATTCATTGCAGTTTTGTTTCTAATGGAAAATACATGATAAGCTGAAAAATGTCTGAACTGCTTTGAAATTCACCACTAAGACATGTCCCAGTAAATGTTTCATCCATTTAATAGGATATTGAGCAGGACTTTACATGTCATGCTTCCAAAAACCACTTAGTGGAATTAAAAAGTATTAATGACATAATAAAATACAAAAACATGATCAAAACACACCAAATACAGAATGACCCAATGTTTAAAAATGTCTGCGTGTGTAATCCAAGATAGGAAGGAAATAATTCAGACTAGTGGTAGAATTTGTCTCCATTTTTCTGTAGAATTTCCTTGAGGGGTTTTTTGGGAGGTGGTGTGATTACCAAGGACAGCTTTCCAGTTATGATCCTGTGGTGTGCAGAAAGATCAAAAATAGAGCTTAATGATCAAGAAGAGACGGGCCCAGATGGTACAAAGTTCCTGATATTGTAATAACATCCCCCACCAAATTTCTCCTTGATTAATTTCTCAAGTAGTTTCTCTTGGGTAGCTTTTGAAAGTTTGTGTTTCTCCCCAACTTTTCTTCCCTAAGCCCTCATCCTAGGTTGTCAGAACAGTGGGGTTTTATTTCTCTCATTTGTTCGGGGAACATTTTTCAGTTGCATCTGGGAAGTTAGAACACAAGAATAATGATCCACCCCGGCTCCAAGGAGAGCTGAGGTTGGGCCCTGGAAGCCAAGGGATAGCAGCATGTGACCATCCTGTCCAGCAAAGTGATCCTCCTCTTTCTTCTTATTTTAATTCAGCCTCATGATGATCCTGAGACTCGTCTTACTGATGCTCTAGCACCCAGAGGAGCCGAGAACTGAATTCCCAACATTCTGCTGTACTGGGATGAGCTGATTCTTGTATTTAAAATACCAATTAAATATAGAGTGTTAAATGTCTTATGCTAAAACAAAATATTGACACATGAATATTAAAAACTAGTTAGCAGTGTTTTTTTTCTTTAAAACCTACATTTTAGCTGTTTCTAATTGTCAATCCTGTTGTTTCAAAAATTGTTACATATTTATTTGCTTTTTCTAATTTTATATCTATGGAAGTTAGGGGTTTGCTGTTTTCTGTTTTTGACAGTCCCAAATACTCATGACTCAAGTAAGTTTAAATTAAACTGCAGGGTGGTCAGATAAGAGGGTTCCTTGAGTGGACTACACAGAATGCTAATTAGCTATTTGTCACTTTGATGCATTCAAAGTCATATTTGTATTATTGCCAGTGTTTTTACCTTTGGATGAATTCCATTCTCTGTAATCAATGTCCTAAAAGCATGTATTCAGTAGTCAAATAAAGACATTTTATTTTAAGCCTGTTTCTTTCATTTTGTGTTTTCTCTAGCAACTCAATCATCTTTGACATTTAAATGTTTAATTATTAATGTTGTGGTTTGAATGAGAATGTCCCTCATAGGCCCCAAGTATTTGGGCATTTTGTCTCCAATTGGTGGTGCTGTTTTGGGAGGTTTTAGGAGGTGTGGCCTTGCAGAAGGAAGCAGGTCACTGGGGGTGGGGCTCAGCTTTAAGAGTTCTTCAGCCTTGGGGCTGGAGAGATGGCTCTGAAATTAAGAGGACTGGCTGCTCTCACAGAGGACCCAGGTTTGGTTCCTAGCACCCACATGGCACCTAACAACTGTCCATAACTCCAGTTTCAGGGGTCCAACACCCTCTTCTGACCTCCATAGGCATTGCATGACACAGGTGCACATACATACATGTAGGCAATATGCTCATACACATAAAATAAAAATAACAATTTTTTTTTAAAAAAAGTTCTTAAGCCTTGCAGATTTGCTGTCACACTCTGCTTCCTGTGTCTGCCTGAAGATGTGATCACTTGGCTCTCCTATCCTGCCACCTCTGCTGCTGTGCCTCCTGCCCTTAGGGGTCTAATCCTCTGGAACTGTAAGCTCAAATAAACTCTTCCTTATATAAGTTAATTTGGGCCATGTTTTATCATAGCAACAGAAAAGTAACTAATACAGTTAATAAAAAGGATTGGTGAGGGAATGGTATTTAAACCAACTCATTGTATTTCCTCTCTCTCAGATACATACAATAAATACAACAACAGAAAAAAAATGATTCCATCACAAATCACCACTCAATTTTAAGAATACTTGTAATGGCCAAGGAAGTCTTAGGGACCAGATGGACCACTGGGAAACACAAGTCCTGGCCCATCCCTCCACTGATTAATATGGTCTTTTGAAGATCTGTCAGGGACTTGGTTTCTTACCCTTAAAAATGTAATGATCAGCACAACCCGAAGTGCTCTAAAAGCCCCCCGTTTTAGTCTCACCAGACTTTGCTCCCTTTGTTGAAGAAGTGAGAAGATGTGAGTTGATTTAGCTGGTGTGCAGATGTGCTCACCCTACTCAGTTTCAAGGATGTTAAATTTTCAATGATAAGACATTGAGGGAAGGAAAAAAACTGATTGAGCCAAATAGGAAACCCATAAAAAGTTCTTTGAAATATTTTAAAAGATCCTACTTCTAAAGAGAAAAAAAAAATTCCCATTAATGCCAGGTGTGCAAGAGACATTGTTAACCACAAACAAGACTGAAAATGGCAAATGGTGTGCTTTCCTGCCTACTGCCAAGGTCAGCAACAGCTTCTACTCAGGTGATGACCATGAAGCTGAAGCAAAAGCTAATTGTGTAGCTAATTGTAAAAATGTGCACTCTATCTGTGAGATATGCCAGTGATGGAAACTTTAAAAGGTAGTTGATGCTGTGCTATGTCCTGGACTTTTCCCCAAAGGCGGGGAAAGTGAATGATGGTGGTGTTTGTGATTTTCTTATTGTTGTGTTTTGTTTTTTAAATCTTTTGGGACTGGAGAGATGACTCAGAGGTTAAGAGCACTTGCTGCACTTGTGGAGGACTTTTGTTAGGTTCCCAAGATCCGTGTCGGACAGCTCACAACCACTTGTAACTCCAGTTCCAGGGAGAGCTGATGGCTCTGACCTCCCACACATAATCAAAAATAAAATAAAGCTAAAATGTTTTAATCTTTGAGGGCCAGCAAGATGGCTCAGCAGTTAAAGGCACTCACTACCAAGCTTGATGACCTCAGTTCAATTTCTGGAGCCCACAAGATAGGAGAGCACTGACTCTCAGAAGTTACCTGTGATTTCCACATGTGCTCTGTGGCAACTACATTTACACACACACACACACACACTACATAAATAAATCTAATAAAAATATTTTTCATCTATTATATATGATTTTACTCTTTTGCACTATGTAGGAAACAGGGATTTTTACTCATGTCTGACTCATTTGTATCAGGACATTTTATTTCAAACAGTAGAGGGGTTTTCTGATTTACAGATAAGTTCTCAGTAGTTTATTTCCCTATACAATTGTTATTTCTTAATTAACATGGCCTTAGGACTTTCTTCTGGTCATTGATACAAATGTAATGTGAGGTTATTTGCTGAGCTACTTAGACCTCTGTATCTGTTAATACTCAGCTACAATAGTGCTCATATTTTTAAGAAACAGGCCATGTTCAAATCTGAATACATCCTTCGCAGTCTGAATGGACTCCTCATCCAGGGGAGGCTTCCTCTGGCTTCCAACTTGGAGAAATCTGTTAATTGTGGGGATGTGGCTGATTCTGACCTTGAATTCCTAAAACGTGAAAGGTCATAATCCATGAGAGAAGAATGTAGCAAAATAAAATAGCAATGAGGCACAAATGAGAAAAAAGTAGGAAGTTTGTACTCTTCACCGTGAGTAGAGATGGGGATAAATGGTACTTTCACACAGTATATAGCATTGCCAAGTGATGCGGCCCTTGTAGAATATATTAAGAACAAAAAAAGTGAGACTCAGGAGTTAAGAGCACTGACTGCTCTTGCAGAGGACCCGGGTTTGGTTCCCAGCACCCACATGGCAGCTAATAATTGTACATAACTCCAGTTCCAGGGGATCGGATGCCCTCTCCTGACCTCCATGGGCATTGCATGACACAGGTGTATCTGCTTACATGCAGGCAATACACTCCTACACATAAAAATTAAAATAATAAAATATTTTTAAAAACAACAAAAGTGTTCATAGGATATAACCAATTGATTTCATTTTTTTTTTTGGTCCTTTTGAGACAGGGTCTCCCTGTAGCCCCAGCTGTCCTGGAACTCACTATGTAGGCCAGGCTGGCCTTGAACTCACAGAGATCCACCTGCCTCTGCCTCCCAAGTGCTGGGATTAAAGGCGTGCACACCACGCCCGGCTTTGATCTCATTTTTTTTTTATTCATAACCGAATGCCTTAAATGTGGAAACCCATGCCCACATGATGCTGTTGACACAGTTTTTACAGCAGCAAACGTTAAGAAGAGGCCCTCATTTTCTGCCATCAGCATTTTTCATATTGTTATGCAATCTTTGAAAACAATTTCAAGTGGCTACATAAATTATACAATGGATGAATTCCCGTTTGTGTAGACAATTCTCAGACATCAGATGCATGTGACATTCATTATTGTGACTTTCACCACTTAAAATTAGCACAATAACTAGCCCATTATATGATCAGGAAATTTTTTTAAAATACATAATGGACAACACTGTATAAACATGAGGTAGACTGAATAGCAATTCCAAAACAGTTTATAATGTGATAAGAGGTGGAAAATTGAAGCTTCAGAATTGCCATAGCTCATGTTACACTTAAGTATAGTTTTAAATTTATAAAGGAATCCACTCATCTAGAAAAGTTTGAGAACTTTAGCTGTGGGGTTAGATAGACAAAGTTTGAGTCCCAGTCCTTCCAATGCACACTATAGAAGTTATTTAACCTCCAAGTCTCATCTGTTTACTTGAGGATGGACTAAAAGAATTGAGTAAATGTGTGCTTGGTTCTTGGTACCATGGATGGCATGAGTTTTAACAGTGGTTACAGTTGTTGCTAAATAATGACTGTGCTTGTATAATACTATTGTGTTTCCCTACCCTCACTCCCAGAGGAAGAACACAACTTAGGTGTTTTGTTTGTTTATCTGAGAAAGGTCTTTCACCTATGTAGCTCAGGCTGACCTTGAACTGATGGTCCTGCAGTCTCATTCTTTACAGTGCTGTAATTACTGATGTGTACCACTGCACCGGCTTAGGAAGAAACTTTATTGAAGTTCTACTATATCCCAGGCAAAGGCTTTAAGACTCAAGCTCTGCAAAATCCTCCCTCAGCCCTCGGCTGGTCCAGGTGATCGTCATCTGATTTCTTATGTTTTTTAACTTACCATGTTCTATGGAAGGTAACTGCCTATGTGCTTGTTTTCCAGAGTAGGTGTTTAATGAAGGCATCTTGATAGTTCTAGCATGGTTCTTAGCATAAAGAAGTAAATTCTTAAATAGTGATGGATGGCTGACTGAAGGAATACAGAAATGACACATTCATTCTGCCTGAAGTCCTTGGGAGCTGTTGGATAGCATTACCTGCAGCAGAGGGAAGCCTGAGAGCACACTAGCCTTGCATTCTTCAGTCATCAAGATGACTTCAAGAAGTTGTATGTCAGCCCAGCTCAGCCGATTGCCCACAAGAAAATCTTGCCCATGGTCTCTTAGAGCCTGTATGATGGTTGAGATGGAGAGGATAGAGGGTTAGACCCACTCCTAACACATAAAGTGATTTTAGTTGGACCTGGTTATTATCCTGTCCTCTCCCACTGGCTAGCAGTATGTGCTTAAGCCCCAACTTAGCTCTCAGGGCTTTAGCTCATCTGGCAGAAATGGATGCGCTTAGACCCTCAAGTTAGCTGAACACATGCAACAGTTTACACTCATGAGTCTTTGCTTCCTTTTCATCTCCACTTGTGGTGGTCTGAATGAGAATGTCCCCTATAGCACCAAGTATTGAACATTTTGACCCCAGCTGGTGGTGCTGTTTGGGGACATCTTCAAAGTGCGTGTTGGTGCTCTGTCCTCACACCATCTCTAGGCAGTCTCCTTAGCCGTGCCGCTCCTTAAAGGTACTTTGTGTGCAGGGAGAAGGTCCCCCTCACGGGGATCCAAACCTAATTTTTTAAAATTATTTATTTAATAACCACATAATTAGAAAAAGCATTTCATTACAACAGCACTGACATATTCAATAACAATTTTCAGAGCTAAGATGCATCTCTTTCAAAATTGGCTGTAAATTTTTAGGTTTACAGTCCAGTTAATACAGTTATAAAATATTGTATTCAGTATAAACCATATAAGACATAAAATTAAATGACGTTTTAACCTTTAAAAAAGATCTCAATTTCATTATTAAAATACACAGTTTCATACAGAAAAATTCATTTTTAATGCAATTGATGCTAAGGTGTTTGCACATGCGTGTCTGATCTCTAGATATCTGATTATTACTAGTCACAGTCAGTTACTTTCTGAGCTCCTTGGCATCTGAGCATGGATATAAAGTCATCAGATGGATTTCAATGGTAATGCCAAACCTAATTTTTATTAGCAAAGTTTTCTTTTAATACGGCTATGTTATGGGCAATTTTGATGTAGATTGATTGGATATAAAAATGGAAAATGGAAAATGGAATAGGTTTCACTAATCTATATTCTAACATAAAAGTTTATGTTCTTATACTTGGGTATGTGATTAGGATTTACAGAGATGTGACTGCATATGTTGGCTTTTATCACTTGTTTGACATTAGTTATTTAGATTAAGTTATGATTTCCTCATCTATAAATGGAATGGTTAATACCTCTTCATGGCTATTAAAAGGTAATGCTTGCAATGACCCCACAGAGGGGAGCCATTATTATTACTGGTGTTGTTTTTAAATTTTTTTACTTCTTTTTATTTTATGTGTATGAGTGCTTTGTCTGCATATATATATATATATACATATATATACATATATATATATGCACCTGTATCATGTGATACCCATGGAGGCCAGAAGAGAGCATCAGATCTCCTGGAACTGGAGTTACAGACAGTTTTTAGCCCTCGTGTGGGTGTTGGGAATTGGACCCAGGTCCTCTGGAAGCAGAGCCAGTGGTCTTAACCACTGAACTATGTCTCCAACTCCCTGCATTGATTTTAGAAATACTGACATTGTGGGGCTGGAGAAATGACTCAGCGGTTAAGAGCACTGGCTGTTCTTGCAATGGACCCATTTGATCCCCAGCACCCACATGATTGCTAACAATCATCCATAACTCTAGTTCCAGGGGAAGCCGATGCCTTCTTCTGACTTCCTCAGGCATTGTATGACACAGGTGCACTTACATACATGCAGGCAAAATACTCATACACATAAAATAAAAATTATAGATAAAAAAGAAATACTGATTATTATTTTTAGTTATGAGAGAAGTCTCTATGTTTCATGGTATTATAGGGGGAAAAAAACTTTAGTCATTAGAAATTGTAGTGTTGGGTTGAGGATATAGCCTTGCATGCATGAGGCCCTGGATTTGATCCTGGGCACCACAAAAAGAAAGAAAAAAGAAAAATGAAATAGTGGTGTTAAATGCCTATGCTATTGATATTGTTTATACAATTATAAGACAAAATATCTTATGTGTTAATTACATATGAATATATTATCTTTTAAGTACTTTTGAAGGAAATGAAATAGAGAAAAACTAGGGTTTGTAGTATTTGTAGTTTGGTCCATTTTGGAGCAAAGGGACTGAGAATTTAACTGTAATTAAGAGAAAATACAAGCTAGGAATTTAGAGTATCTGTAATTCATGCCAAATACTCAAGTATGGGTTAAATAATATGCATGACGTGATATGTTCATAAGTATATTTAAATGTATATATTAAATCATTCCATTACAACCATGTTATTCAACTCAGGAAGGACAATGACCCAGTATTACAGTAAGTTTTGAAGGTACACCTGGCTCCTTATTTCTTTTTTTTATCTCACTCTAAAGTTTTCATCACCCTTTCCTAAGTCTCTACGCATTGTAATGAACACACCTGGAAGTAAAGCCCTCATGCAACTGTTAAGACACCAACCCAGGTAGGTGCTGGGACCGCTGTTTTAAACGTTTGCTTAAGGCACAGACCTTTCAGGAATTCTTTTGCAAATATGAAAAATGAGGCTGGAGAGATGGCTTAGCAGTTAAGAACACTGACTGTTCTTGCAGAACACCCAGGTTTGAATCCCAGCACCGACATGGCAGCTAACAACTGTCTGTAACTCCGGTTCCAGGGGATCTGACAGCCTCTTCTGTCCTCCACAGGCATTGCACGGCACGGGTGCACTTACCTATATGCAGGCATAACACTCATACACATAAAATAAAAAAATATATAAAAAAAGAAAAATACAGAAACATAAAATGCAAAGCATTATTTTTTTAAAGTTCTATGACTTTGAATAGTGCATCAAATTCTGCTAACATTATAAACTGCTTTGAGCCCTGGTACTACCCACACATTTAAGAAATAATATTTATCCTCACTTCCCCAACTCTAATTAGCATGAGCTATCTCCTCTGGGACCTTGGTTATCAGGTTTTATTTTACTTCAGACTTCAATCGGGTAACTGAATTTCTATCAGCATCAAAACTACAAAGTGTTAGAATTATGTATGAAATCCCTTAAAAATATAATAAAATCCAGGGACTGGAGAGATGGCTCAACAGTTAAGAGCACTGGCTGCTCTTGTAGAGGACCCAGGTTCGATTCCCAGCACCCACATGGCAGCTAACAACCATCCGTAACTCTAGTTCCAGGGGAATCTGATGTTGTCTTCTGACTTCTGAGGGCATTACAAGGCACAGACGCACTTACACACATGCAGACAATACACCCATACACATAAAATAAAAATAATAAAATATTTAAAATATATATAATAAAATCCAGACAACCTTGGTTGGGTCTTGAGAGATGGCTCAGTAGTTAATAGTACTTGCTAATGGGGAGTAGAGTTAAAAATCCCAGCACCAACACAAGTGGGGCATCCCCCTAGACACCTGTAACCCCAGCTTCAAAAGAGGCAGAAACAGAAAGATCACTGAGGCTTGCTGGCTTCTAGCCTAACTGAGAAAACACGAGTCTCAGGTTCAGAGAAGAGACCCTGCCTCAAAGGAATAAGTGAAGAGAAATAAAGGAGGACACCTGACAAGATTTGTCCTTATATAAGGAAAAAATGTTAAGATTTCACAGAGGGTTTGGCAACTTTCATGCACCAAAAATATTCTGTTTTCAGTTTAGTTTGTTTTTCTCCTCCAAGCCACAAGGCAGAGTCGACAATCGTTGCTCACCTTTTCATAAACAGGGAAGAATCTTGTTGTGGCTCTTTGAAGGATATATTCAAGATTCATCTCCTTCTCGTCAGGCAGCGAGAGTGGAAAGTACATAATCATGTCGCTCAGGTCCCTCAAGCCTTCTACATACATGTCAATCCTACAAAACAGGTGATCATTTAAAGAGGTCCAATGAGAGGAATAGCATTGCATGGACTAATGCAATGACACATTTGATATTGCCTCGGTTTCACCTGCCTGATTATCAGGGATCCTTGTGGACTGTTGTTTCATGAGCTAAATACCAGCAAGATATTCCTTTTGGCATTAAATAAACTCAATCTGAAGCTGGGCATGGTAGCACATACCTCTAATCCCAGCACTCAGGAGGGAGAGACAAGCAGATCTCTGTGAGGTCAAGGTCAGCCTGGTCTGCATAATGAGTTACAGTCCAAGCTGGGCTACAGGGAAACCCTGCCTCATAAAAGGAATAAACAGATAGATAAATTAATAAATAATAACTCAATATGAAACCAGGTACTGTAGCACACACCTATAATCTGGACTCAGGAGGCTGAAGAAGGTCAATCCTGGGATACTAGCAAACCCTGTTCCTGTCCACCCCAGATTAATCTGGGAGCCAGGAAGAATTATAGCACCAAAATGTGTGAGCAATTATATGCATGTTCATATCAATTATGCAACACTACCAGTAATAAGACACAAACATTTGGCTGTTTAAATGTTATAACAGTGTGCTCATCCAGACTAACGCGTGGTCTGTATGGGAGAAGAGGCAACTCGGGATCTCTGTCTTTCCCAAAACCTCTCCATGAGAATCCAAGATTCTCAAGCATAGTCAGAACAGCATTTTTAAAAGGACATAAAATTTGCTCCACAAATTCCCATTGCTGCTATCCACAACTCGACTAGAATGAGTGGAAAAATGGCATCTCTGAGCGGGCACCAAGGCATAGGGAAAAGACCGTTGGGATGGATGTTGGATACCTCTGTCCTGATCTAAGGTGAGTCTGTAATCTTGTTGAACCACAGTGCCTCTAACCTTAACTAAGATATCAGTGAGTGCCTTGAAGATGATCTTTAATTCTTGCTGCTTCTGCCAAGTCTCATTCTTTCCTTGGACTGCAGTGGACCTTGGAGACTTTTGAGCAGTGAAAAACAGGGAAAGGATCCACTCAGGCTTCCACAGCCAGGTTATAAGAAATCCCATAGCTTCTACCACATTCTCCTGTAACAGTTACTCTAAAGGCAACTAGTTTCCATGTAAGAAATCCAGCCATATTGGAAATCTAAGGCTTTGAGGCAGCCTCATCTCACCAAATGGAGAATGTATGTGGAAAGAGCAAGACATACTCAACTACACCCATGGATGCAGATCCTCCAACCCAGGTGCCAGACATAGGAATAAATCACTTGTATGAGAGGCTCTAGGGACCACCCAGCTGAGCCATCAGCTCACAAAATTGTGCAAATAGTCTGTAGTGGGTTACCAAAAGAGTACCATTTTTCAAATTAAGGCTATTGTGGAATTGTGTAGGTGTAAGAGTTGAAAATATATGGGGGCTGGAGAGCTGGCTCCAGGCATTAAGAGCACTGGTTGCTCTTGCAGAGGACCCAGGTTTGATTCCCAGCACCCACATGGTGGCTAATAAAAATTTGTAATGTAACTCCAGTTCCAGGGGACCTGATGCCCTCTTCTAAGCTCCAAAGGTATTGCATGACATGGGTTCACTTACATACATGCAAGCAATACACTCATACACATAGAATAAAAATAATAAAATATTAAAAAACAAAAAGCTAAAAATATGTAATATTGCATATGAGCCTTTGTCATAGTGGCATGACATACCAATGAGATCACTATGAATAAATTACTGATTCACCTTCAGTTTGTAAACATTAGTTCTATAAAACAACAACATTAAAACCATTTTGCATTAAAATGAACCACAGCTCCTTAGAGAATGAACGAGTCCAGTTGTGGAGCAAGAGATACTCAAGATCTATCCAGACCACCAGGTTGCCCCACACAAGGAGTTGTCAAGAGCCATTATGGTAAGGTATTCCCAGGAGTCACTTGGCTCCCACCAGCCAGAGGCAGGACAATTTGAACACAAATGAGAATAATGGCTGAAATGAAACAGAATACATAAAAAATTACTTAAATGAATAGGTTCGTAATGGCACTAAAATAATAAATAATTGGTCACTGTTACAGCACACAGGTGAACCAGCTCATTATATGGAAAACAGGTAAACAAAGACACCAATTCTATCTTTCTTATAGGACTCTGTACCTCCATATACTAGAGAGGAGGTGAGGGGAAATCATTTTTAAGATAATTATTCCAAATAATAAATGGAAGGAATGATAACATTAAATACCTACAGCTACTAATATCATGAAAGACAGGTAACCAGGCATTTGTGCTTCTTCATATAGAAACAGTAATGAAGTGGTCTTGTAACACTCCGTAGAACCTAAGTCTGATAATTCCTCTAAGTCCAACTAGTGGTTTATCAAAATACTGAAATAGGGGAACATGATAGACTGCACTGCAGGGGTGCTACCAGTAGAAAATTAGCAAAAAGTACTAGAAAATGAAAGTGCTTACAGTTAATAGTATTGTAAGATCATTCTAAAAATTTGTTCTGCATTAATTTTTAGACATTTATAAAAATTCATTTTGAAATAAAACAATGCCTTAGGCAACAACAGATTTATTTTAAATGCATCTCATTTAGTATAATTGGAATATCTTTTTCCTTCCTGAACAATGTTTGTCCAAATCCATGCAATAATTTTCAGTTTAGGGTTCTTACTTTAAACTCCAGGAAAGCAGGCCACTTGAAAGAGCCACCAATCACAGAAAGCCATCGTGCATGCACAAAAGAATTAGCTGGTGTCTGGGAAGCTAAGGAAGCTAGCTGGTATGAACAGACATTTGATGAGATGGTTTCCTACAACTACTTCCAGAATCAGTTTTTACAGTTAGGTGAGCCCCACCCCCCACCCCCATCCCCACTCCCAGAAAAACTTCTGAACCGGTGTTCTTGTGACTTATTCCTATGTACTTTTCCTACCTAGTAGAGCTAAACACATATTGATAAGAAAGTAGCTAGCTTCCTTTAATAGTAAAAGCTAAATGTACAATGAGAAAATTTAAACTGTAGGAATTATCCATAAATGTTTGATTGTTGTGGGGAAATGTTATGTAATAGGGGTTATTATACTATTCCCTCATTTGATAGTTATATTTTTCCATAGTAAAAGGTCAAAATGCAAAAATGAGTTTTCTATCAGTCTACCAAGAACTATTAGATAGATAGATAGATAGATAGATAGATAGATAGATAGATAGATAGATAGATAGATAGATAGATATCTCCCCTAATGGAGCTAAATATTTAATGTTCTGGGATTTTTAAGAAGTGGGTTTTGTACCAGGCTTGTTCTTTCAGGTTCCTTCCGTACAAGTCATACTTTGCAGCTATGTATCTTAAAATGGCTCTGGTTTGTACCAAATTCATTCCATCAATTTCCACCATGGGCACTTGTTCATACATCAGGGTTCCACCTTAAAATGCACAAGGGGAAACTGGATTATTTATTGTTCTTGAAAACAGTAACTAAATTTCCTTTCATTCTAAAGATACTACAAAATACGATGATATAATCCAATAGCATTTATCAAGATATTTTTAGAAACTAAGAGGTGAAAGATGCATGCATTCACCCACAAAATATATAGAGTATAAATTTAAAATGTGGATACAAAGCATTCCCTCTGGCCAGTGCTCCTTTTCTAATTCCTTAGTCTCCTTTCCCATGCCATACCACTAGTTTAAATCCTTTTTACCTTTGAACTACCAGAGTCCAGGTGGCCCGTCTCATTTTCCACTCTTCCCATCTGGTTGTTCTCCTGAAGTCATTCACTTCTGTTTAAAGATCTTCCCTTCATTCACTATTGTTTATCAGATAATATACATAACTATCGAACCTCACTCTGGAATTTAAAGCACTCCTTGAAATTTGCTTCTGTCTACCTTCTATATAGTCTTCCTCATCTCTCTCTAGTATATACCTTTCCCCTTCCATCTCTCCCTTCCCAGTGGGCTACCATCTGGGTGACAGTTCTTTATTTCTTCAACTTTCTCAGGATGCTTTGTAGCAAAACAATCATCTAAGAAATCACAGCTCATCATAAGGAATGGCAATGGTTTTATTAGAAAGGATCATCTCTATCTATCTATCTATCTATCTATCTATCTATCTATCTATCATCTATCACCGATTGATCAATCTTTCTATCTCCCTCTCCCCCCGCCATAAAAGCAAGGTGAGGCTTGCCCTGCACTCTTCCTATGTACCACCTTTGAAGTCCAGCCAGTTGGGCCAGTCTCCTCTCCATCATTTCAGGGTCTAACATGGAGCTGAATTGCACAAGGTACTTTCACATAGAGAACTTAGTATAAAAGAAGTTAGCCTGCACTGAGGAGGTAGAGGTAGGAGGATCAGGCATTCAAGATCATTCTGGGCTACAAGAGACCTTATGTCAAAAAGAAAGAAGGAAGAAAGAAAGAAAGAAAGAAAGAAAGAAAGAGAGAGAGAGAGAGGGAGGGAGGGAGGGAGGGAGGGAGGGGGAAGGAAGGGAAAGAAAGAAAGGAAGAAAGAAAAAGAAAGAAAGGAAGGAAGAAAGAAAGAAAAAGAAAGAAAGAAAGAGAAAGAAAGAGCTTTATGATGTGTTTTTATTGTACTACTCAAGAGGCAGAGGCAGGTGGCTTTCTGTGAGTTGAGGACAAGCTGATCTAGATAGCAAGTGCCAGGTCAGCTCAGGCTGCACAGTGAGATCCTGAAAAGTTAAGAAGAAAAGAAGAATGCGGTGTCATGAAGCTGGCAATTGCAGACAAGGAATTATCTATCATCTTAGGTGTGGGAAACAAAGGGCCAGAGCTGTCATTATTACAACCTAGAAGTTGAAGGCAGGGTTCCTTCTACTTGCAAGATTCGGGTGTGCCTTCCTTACAGAGAACTGAAATGCTGGTAGTTACTGCCTCTTTTAGAACATTAAAGAGAGGGGGACAGAAAGCATCCTCCATAGTAATGCCTGGTCTCAGGCAACATTGGGAGTTAAAAGGGGTTTATCTCACCTTGGATTAATTTCTCAAATTCTTCATGAGTTTCAAAAAGTTCTTCTTCAAACTAAAGAATGAAAGAATAAAAGAATGAAAGAATGAAAGACTCTGTTGCTACTAGCATATTTATTATTATTGCTGACATCATAGAAAAATTAAATAGAAGTAAAACGATACCCACCCACTAGAAAAATATTTTAGTACTATTTAGTAATATTTAAATAGTACTAGACTGAAGTGTGCGGTCACCTTCATTCCTGACCCCTGGAGACAAGATTAACCTGATCTCTGAACTCCAACAGCAGTTTTTACAGGTTCTAGGGAATTCTGTTACGTTTTCTCTTTCTTTTTCTTTTTTATTTTTTTAAAAGATTGATTTATTTTATGTGTATGAGTGCTTTGCCTGCGTGCATGTAAGTGCACCACATGTGTGCAATACCTATGGAGGCCAGAACAGGGCATCAAATCCCCCATAACTGGAGTTAAAGATGGTTGTTAGCTGTTATGTGGGTGCTGGGAACCAAAGCTGGGTCCTCCACACGAGCAGCTAGAGTTCTTAACCATTCAGACATCTCTCTAGCAACATTTTAAAATTTATTATTTATTTTATTTGTTTGTCTGTTTTGAGACAGGGTCCCCTTGTAGCCCCAGCTAGTCTAGAACTCACTATGTAAACTAGGCTGGCCTCAATCTCACAGAGATCCACTTGTGTCTGCCTCCTGAGTCCTGGGATTAAAGGTGTGCACCACCACACCCAGCCTACTTTTTAAGACAATAAAAACAGACGCAAACCTCTAGTTTCTCATTTACTTAAAAACTTTATCAATATTTTTACACAAGTTATAGAACTCATTGTAGAAATTTTGAAAATATAAGCTAAAAGAATTTAGGTTTTAGTGGCCATGTCTCTAAACATGAACAGGTGTTTAATAGACTGATTCTCTTATGTCTGCCTTTCTTTCCTTCTGTTTGTGGTGTTGGGCATTGAACCTAGAGCCTTGAGTGTGCTAAGCAAGTCCTCTACCGCTGAGCTATATCCCCACTCCTTTAATAAATATAACTGTACCACTCAAAAAAGTAGAATTCAGAGGCTGGGGAGATGACTTAGTGGGTGAAATCTTGCTTCTCAAGCAGGAGGACCTGAGTTCCGATCCCCAGTACTCATGTAAAAGCTGGACATGGCAGTATATACCTGGACCCCAGCCCTGGGGGAAGAACCTAGGGGCTCTCTGGACAGCGACCCTAGCTCAAATGGTGAACTCCAGGTTCAGTGACAGATCCTTTCCCAAACATTAGAGTGGAGAGCAATAGGAAAGAATACCTACATTCACACACATGCATACATCACACACACACACACACACGCATACACCGCACATACATGCATGCACATACACACGTAAAGTAGAAGTTGGACACTTGCTACATCTACAAGGAATGCTCTCACTGGGTGGAATATCGACATGTACGTGTGTGGATGACTCTTCTTTATTCTCCTTTGCTCTCTGGTTTAATAAAACAGTTCTCTTTAGGTGTGCTTAGCAGTCTCTGTACCAAGTGCCGTGTGGCCAAGTGTTCTACCTCTCTGCCCCTTTCCATGCTCCCAAAACATGCTTGGTTCCAGTAGAATTAGTAGTTTCTTTCTCTCTCTCTCTCTCTCTCTCTCTCTCTCTCTCTCTCTCTCTCTCTCTTCCTCTCTCTCTCCCTCCCTCCAAAAAAGAAAAAGAAAAAGAAAAGCAAAAAAAAGAAACAAACAGAAACACATGATCAATGGCAACAGCAGCCATAATGTTAGAGTCTCTCTTTCGTGTACCTTTATTTGATGCATAGGAAGCCCAGACAGGCCACGACTTACCTAAATCCTTCAGCTAAAGGGTGGAAGAAGAGAAATAAAAGAGCTTCCTGTGCACGCTCATTACATTTCAACTATTGTCATCTTAGTAAATTTTTCTAAAAATAGTATCAGTTAAAGAATCCATATTCCAAACGTGACACCAAATATGAGAATACAGAGAACTTTTTCCATCCTTTCAACATTGCCTACAATTTCATTTATTATTTAAAAGAACCATTTGCTTATGATTTTAATTTCTCTTAGAATTTCTCAGAAGAACTCTAGTTTGCCCAGACTCTGATAGGAACTCCACGGGGAGTGCAACACCAAATTCTAACAAGGGTGTTACTAGGCTAACAACTGGTAACCTCCCTGGGAAGACCTGGAGAAGAGGATCTGGGTCACATGGAGCTTTCTTGGGTCTTTTGATGCCTCCCAGTGTTTTGGACTCATAGCTTGTCAGAGTTAGAAGGAAATTCTGTCGTTCATATTCACCTTCATTTGAATTTTCCTTGTGAGGTCCTGAAAAGCTAACTAATCATGCCATAGGATGCTGCGGGTGTAGCTGTGCTTTGTTTTGGAGGCCCTGTCAGTATCAGGGGATCCTTCATGATGGGGGCCTGAGTGGGGCTGCATGGGAGAGAAGCAGGGCAGCCTGCTGTTTTATAGTTCTGGGTGTGGGTGTGAAACAGGATGGGGTAGATCCAAGTGTCCTTGGCTCCATGCTCTCTGCGCGATTTCTCAATAGATTTAGATCAAGTTTTGCAAGTTCATCCAGAAAAGGGTTTCCCACTTGAGCTTTATTTTTTAGCAGTGTGTTTTTATCCATGTTATCTTTTGCCTCCCTGTGAGAGGATGTGTGTTGGGCACAGCAGGGCCTCCAAAAATGAAGCACAGCCATGTCAGCAGACATGCATCCTATGACATGGTTACTTAACTTCTCAGGACCTCTGCTGTGTAGACTTGTCCTCTGCCTGGCAAGCTAGGCTGGAAAGTAGAGGGCAGATGCCTTCTTCTCCAGCTGGGATTTACACATTTGCTTCAATCACCACAAACTAATTTGACTATAGACACTCTGTAGGAGGGGAGGGCAGATAGAGTCAGTCATGCCTTCCATCCAACCACCGGGCCTAAGTGGTACATGGGAGAGAGACTAAGGATGGGGATGGGGAAGCCGAGGAGAGGTGGTAGTCTTCATCCTCTTGGGTCGCCACTGGAATGTCAGCAGCAATGTAGGAAGGAAGCCCACGTGTGCCCACATCTTTGTAAGTAACCCCATACCCACCCCTCCACCCCCTTCTCTGTAAGTAAGCCCAATAAAGTCTTTGGTTCTCCAAACTGTAGTTTGGAGGACTATTATCTCAGTTTGTCATAAGGGCGAAGGGAAGACAGAGCCAGAAGCTGCAAGCCAAGCTCACCTCCCAGAAGTAATTTTTAGTACAACCTCACAAGGAAAATTTGAATGAAGGTGAATATTGACCACAGAATTTCCTTCTAACTCTGACAGGCTATGAATCTAAAACAATGTGAGGAATCAAAAGAACTAAGAATGCTCCATGGGGCTCAGAAAGGAGGACCCACCATTGTTGTTTTGTAAAATGTTGCATTAGAAGAAATGACATGTTCTTGTATGGTTGATGCTTGGTTGGTGTTTATGTTGTGCATTTTTAACTTTGTTTTGGCAGGGTCTTATTATGTAGCAGATTGGCCTTGAACTTGAGATTCTTCTGCTTCTGCCTCTTAAGTACTTGAGTTTCCTCTCATTGAGTGGGCTTTTAGTCCAATCAGGTAGCTGTTGATTGTCCCCAAAATGAAAGTGCCACTACTGCACCAATTTCATATGCTGTGCTGGCCATTGATGTAGTTATTTGGTCTTTAAGCTAGTGTTGGACCATCTACTGATGTTTTCCCTCTGCACCTTCATAGTGTTCTCCAAAGCTTTGAGAGCTAGGGGAGAACACTCAAGTGTGGTACTGTAAACATAACCAAATACACATGGCTGGAGAAGTCATAGATCTTAGAGAAAACCCCAACAATGTCACATCCCTAGACTAATGTAATTTCTTATTATGTGCAAAATATATATCCTTATATTTACAGTCAAATATCTCAGTCACCACACATCAAAGAACCTTCTTTTATACCAGATGGAGACTATTATCAAGTACCACAATGGGTCACACACAGACATTGTAAATTTCCCAAGCCTAAGTGACACATCTACAATGCAACCTCTACACCTAAGGCTCACAGAGCATAGAACAGGGGTAAATAGGTCACTAATGAATTTCTCAATTCTCATTCATGAAATTCCCTCATGCAACAGAGGACCAGGAACTCAAAAGATCACAAATGGCCAAAGTATAAAGATTAAGAGTCTGCAGAATGCTGGTTCTTGGACAGGACTCCTATATTAAACTTCACCCACCCAGGGCTCAGGGAGCATTATGGAAGAGGGGGCAGAAAGACTGTAAGAGCCAGGGAGATACACAACCATATACAAATAGAGTCCTACAAGCTCCTGGGACCCTGCTCATATGAATCTACAGTGATGGTGTCAGCATACACAAGTGCCATGCAAACCCAAGCAGACAAAAACCCAGCATAGAACTGGGCAGATGGACAGCAGACCCCAATCTTAGCTGAAGAATATTTGTAACTTATTACTGCTGGGTGAGGAAGAGCTGATCTTCCTAAAGTGAGGGACTCTAGATAAGCTGACTAGACCTCAGTAGATGAAATTGTACTAAGGGACATCTGGGGACACTAACTTGACACAATAGACCTCAACACAAATGACAGAATGCATGAATTCCAGTGGTAGGGCTATAGGAGGTGTCAATGGGGATAGGGGTATAAAGATGATTAAGATTGATTGAGATATTCTGTATGAAATACACAAAAATTCAATAAAAACAATTTAAAAAGACCCATAAACAATGACACAGCAGTGGTACAAAACATATACACAGGTCAGTGGATCAGAATTGAGGCCCCAGATATAAGTCCACGCAGCTACAATTACCTGATTTTTTATGAAGATGCCCAAAATACACATTGAAAAAAGGACAGAATCATCAATAAATGATGCTAGAAAAACTGGATTTCAACATGCAGAAAAACGAAGCTAAATTCTTACCTCCTACCCTGTACAAAACTCAATTCCAAACGAATCAAGATCCTCAACATAAGAGCTGATATCCTAAAACTGCTAAAGAAAAAAGCAGGGAATAAGCTTCAACTTATTGGCATAGGCAAGGACTTTCTAAATATGAGTCCAGTAACACAGAAAATGAGATCTACAATCAACAAGCAGGAACTTATGAAACTAAAAAGTTTCTGTACAGCAAAAGAAACAGTGAAGTGAGCGAACAGACAGTTGGAAGAATGGGAGAAGGCCACACTTTTTGTTTGGGAAACATAAAGCATTCTCTAGAAGGTTCACTCAGTATGTATCCAATCAAGTGTTCGAAAATAGCATGATTCAATCAGGCATCTTACCTCTACTCCAGCTGCTGCCAGGAGCCACCGGATAGACTCCATTCTGCCCCTTCCATTGAAGTAGTGAAGCACAGGCTTCCCAGCCATGCTTAAGGATTCCTGAAAATCAAGAGAGAGAGAGACTGGCTACACCTGGAGGATGAACTTACAGGGCAGAAGCACAAGGTTGCTAAGAAAACTGTGACTCGGAACTTTGGCCCCCACACCAAGCTGCCCCTCTGCTCCAAGACTACCTTGTGTGCTCTGTTCCTTCCACCAGGGAAGGTTATCTTTACAAACTGGTTTCCAAATGTCTTGCAAAAGCCTAACTATATAACTGCTTTTAAAAAGAAGAATACAAGCCTAAGCAAGCCAGACAGATGAAGGGGATTCAAGAGTAAGACAGATGAGCTTCCCCTCCCAAGGCAGGTGGCAACGGTTGAGTGTTCCAACCTTTTAAATCTCCTTTTCAGTACAAATCAGTCTCCCTCCTCCTACCACGACAAGTCTACACTGGATAAACCGTGTGAATGGGAGGGTGGGATTGCTGGTAATTTTTGTTTTTCAAATTAATCTTGATAGTTTAATCACAGTAGTCTCTGAAGCCTAGAACCTCATGGAAAAAAGATTTTTAATGACTCATGAGTATTTTTAATCAAAAGTTCAGTTAGGCCAAAAGTGCCTTTTTATACTATCTTTTTCCTTGAAAAATAAAGATTACCTTTAAGAAACCACACTCATTTTAAAGAAATTAAAATAATACACAAGTCTAGATATTAAAAGTCTGACCCCAGTGCAACCTGTGAGGCTCAAGGGTATAAGAGACAGGCTTGGCGGGGTGATAGATACAGATCCTGAATGTTCAATGGCACCTTGAGGTGCCTGGACAGGAGCTGCCAGAAAGCAAGAAGGACTGTAGAAGAGGAGTATCATCCTTAGCAGTAGGAGAGTATTCATGGAATAAATGGGAACTGATTTATTTTGCAGCATGTCAACAAACTCACTTTCAAATCCAACAGTTCTAAATAAGAAAATCCCAGTAAAATAAATGTAGATAGCTTGTGAAAAAGTCACTATTTTTAAAATCCAGAATTGGAAAAAATGATTAGATGATTTAGAAATAATACTTGAGTAGTGTGAAAATCCAAAGGAAAATAGAATATTTAATAAGCCTATTGAAAAGTACATATATAACATAAATGAGAGTGCATGTATATAGCTGATGGTCATATAATAAAAAAATCACAGTGTCAGGCATGGGAAACCTCCCTTCAAACTGATATCCAGGGAAATCTGAGAGACTCTCAATATAATCCAGTCTATTGCAACAGCCCTTGATTGCCTCCAAGTACTTGAAGGTAAGACTCTGTTGCTGAAGACCCAACACATGTTGGACCCAGGACTTGGAGCAAGTGAACTGGAATTGCCCAAGAAGCCTCTTCCCCAAAGACTAGCTTTCAAAATACCAGAAGATACTATATAAGCATCCAAGGGAGAAAACCAGTCAATGATCCTACCCAGCTGTAAATCCTAGAACCACAACAATGACTAGCCCAAAGCCCAACAAATTCTCTCTATTGGTACAGTAGTGGCACTTTTATCTTGGAGGTAATCCAAGCTGTCTAATTGGACTTTAGGCAAGCTCAATGGGAGAGAACTCGTGTGTGATACTGTAAACATAGCCAAGCACACATGGCTAGAGAGGTCATAGGCCCCAGAAAAGAACCCACTTCTGTAACTTCCACAGACCAATGTAATTTCTTACTGTATTCTAAATATGTATCCTTATATTTACAGACAAATGTACCTCTCACCACTTATCAAAGAAGCTTGTTTTTGCAACTGATAGAAACTATTACAAAGTTCCACAACTGGTCAAAATGCAGAGGACAACTGTGAGGTGCCCAACTGTAAGTGACACAGCTACAATTCAGCCTCTACATTCAAGGCTCAGGGAATATCATAGAAGAGGGGGTGAAAAGAATGCAAGAGCCAGAGGGACAAGACACCTGGTGCTATTTAATGAACTCTAGACATGTTAGGGAAGCTGCACCAGTGAAATCTCCACAATATGGTAGTCTCATGAGATGTTTATAATGACAAAAACCAGTTGACCTGCGAAGATGCACAGGGGGAATATCTTGAGGTCCCACCTCAAGATGATGAGCTACAGGCAATCAATGGATGCTGAGAGAGGAAGAACCAGTTTTTTTTGAGGGACCTGAGAGGTTATCTGATCCCAAATGGATAACCTGAAACACGGGTATACATGAGCACCACTTAATGAACTCAGTGTGTAATATAATATTTATAAGTGTATGTATATATAACAATATATAATTAAAGAAGGAGATAGGAAGCTGACAGGGAGTGGGGAAACATGGTAGAAATTGGTGGGAAACTGGGAGAGGTAAAAATAATGCAATCTCATACTCAAGTTTGAAATTCTCAAAAATAAAAAATTTTAATATAATTATTTGTAACATGTTTTTACCATGACCTAAATCAACATATTTCTAACTTTCTTTCTAAAATCATCTAAAAATATTAGATTCAGGAAAATTGCACAGATTTCAATAAAGACTTCTTAGAATAAACAAGAAGTGATCTAGGCTAAAGGACTTTTCAATCTCATAAGCTCTTGAGATCTCTAAGAGATAGAACAGATGATGAATGATGAGTAATGGTTTGTGGTCCCTACCCATGGGTGGAGGGGCGGGGGAAGGAGCGTCTGGAAGAGGACGAAGCTGAGAACAGCAGGTGCCATTATCGCAGCAGTGGAGTAACTGGAGAGACAGTAATGGGAACAGGCAAAAGACTGGAAGTTGAGAGTTCTTAGGAAGAGCCAAATTAAAAGCTGTCACAATGGCAGCAACAAAGGAGACATGTCTTAAGATCCCCTAGTCAGGGAAGGCCTAGACACGTGACTTTAGAGTCCATCTCTGCTGGATGGAGTTAGAGAGCGCAGTTAAGCTATAATAGCTATTCTTATGTGTTCACTTGACTCAGCTAAAGGATGTTGCACAGCTACTAAGATATTTCTGGATGTGACTGTGAAGAGGGTTCTGAAAGCAGATAACATTGGAGTCAGCTATTCCCACTCTGTTGTCTCCCTGATCAGATGTGGAGCTCCACACATTTCTCCAGGCCCCTAACTCAATGGAGAGGGAGAAATGGGTCTTCTCACTCCTGTGTTCAAGACCAGGTGACCCTTCCATTCTCAGTCCTACATCCCTATGTTAACTCCACACACCCCTTCACTTGTATCTTCCAGATTCCTGCTGAACCTATGTTTGTTTGCTCCACATGCTAAACTAAAAGGATACAGCCCCAAAATTTCAAGGCATCCCTCTCCCCTCTGTGTTCTCTCCTTCTCTCTCTCTCTCTCTCTCTCTCTCTCTCTCTCTCTCTCTCATCTCTCCCCTGGGAAATGGCCTTATACTCATGGAAGTACCTTTCACCCAGAGTACAACACCATGCCAAGCTTTTACGGGGAGCTGGAAAGCACTCTAGTGACTGAGCCATCTCCCTAGCCCCTTCTCTAAAAAACTCTTTTGGTTCTGTGACCAAGTAAAGTATAAAGAGTGTCCACAACCAACACTTTTGGCAGTCATATGAGAATTTGGTGGACTCACTGCATGTGACCACACATTCCATGTTGGGCTTTGTTCTCTCTCTGTCTTGTGCACACCACAGTGTGCTTGCTATTGCTAAAAGACAGAGTCCCTGGCCCAGATCTCAGGTATGCTCTTCTCTTGCCCTCGACCTCTTATATAACCCAGGATTACTTTTGTGTTCGATACTAGAATTCCTCCCAAATTCCCCATGCACTGAGCCTAACTCTGGTCATGTTGGCATTTCTTGAGACCCTGACCAGTATTCCCTTAGGGGGCCTGGAGAGATGGCTCAGCTGTTAAGAGCAGTGACTGCTCTTACAGAGGACCTGGGTTCGGTTCCCAGCACCCACAACTGTCTGTAACTCTAGTTCCAGGGGATACGATGCCTTCTTCTGACCTCCACAGGCACTGCATGACACAGGTACACTCACATACATACAGGCAATACACTCATACACATAAAATAAAAATAAAATAAACCCTTAGGGATTCTTTATATAATTACAGCTGTATACATTATAGACTTTCTTTTGTTTCAAAATGATCTTTCAAAAGCACATTTTATGTAACACCCTTACTGACATATTCATATACTGTAATTGTCATTCCGCTAATGGATACCATTCACTGGTTTGACACATTCATAAAATTCTGCAAATAAGGACCCTCTGATTCCAGGGCACTTTTTCACCTTGAAAAAAAAAAAACTCATCTAAATGTTTTGGCAGTCACTCCCCTCCCCAGTCTCTCCAGCTGTAGGCAACCACTAATCTACTTACTGCTTGCTTGAATTTGAATGGCCTGGACTTTTCACACAGGCAAATCATATAATATAGGCACTTGTCTTATTTCTTTTATGTAACAGATTTTCAGTGTTAATCCATGTAGCATACTTCCTTGTATTGCTACAGAACGTTCTGTTCATCTATTCACTGGTTGATAGGTGCTTGATTTAGTTCCAGGTTTTGAATATTGTAAATATGCTGCTATAAGAAATTTTGAACGAGTATTAGGGAAGGTATATTTTCATTTATCTTGGCTATGTCCCTAGTAGAGGATTTTCTGGATCATTGGTAACTCGACTCAACTTTTTTATGAAGTTCCCACAATTCCATACAATTTATTTTTAATCAAGAAAGAAGACCACGTGCTTTGATGGTATGGGACCACTCTGGCTACTTTGACTCTTGATGAAATTCTTTAGGTAACCCCGTATCGTGAGAATTGGCCTGTATGAAAACTTGTCACATCGAGAAATGTATACATTTAGCTAGTACCATGTTCCTGATCATCATTTTGAGATGTCCTAAACTTGAGACAGCTTTTTAATCTTTCCCTTCTCTAACCTTGGTCTCCAGACAATCACTTTCTCCCTTGACCAAAACTTTTGGCTGGATCCTAGCCTCTAAAGGCTGAACCCTAACAATTATGATTTCACCATCCTTTGATATCTGCTGACTCATTTTGGGAAACCTCTATCACTGTGCAATATTCATGGACTGC